GCTTGCCCTTTAATGGAGTAACGTAGGAAGATAGCTTCATCTGACTTAGCGTCAAATTTTCCTAGATGCTCCTTTGTATTTAGAACATAGCAGGAACACCCAAAAGGATGAAAATACGCAAGGTTAGGGGCTTTATTTTTAAAAATCTCGTAGGGAGTTTTCATTAAACCCTTTCGAACAAGCACACGATTCAGAATATAATAGGCTGTGCTGACTGCTTCTGCCCAGAAGAATTTTGGAAAATTATACTCAAGAAGCATGGAACGAGCACATTCAATCATAGTACGATTTTTCCTCTTGACAACTCCATTATGTTGTGGAGTACGAGGGGCTGAGAAGCTGTGAGTTATCCCTGAATTGTTGCAAATATTCTCAAACTCTTCTGAAACAAATTCACCACCATTATCACTCCTTATGTTCTTAATCTGCCCTGAGAATTGTTTCACAAAAATTTGGAATTTTTTAACTGCCTTATCTTTGTGAGCTAGAAAGAACACCCAGGTATAGCGAGAGTAATCATTAACTAGGACTAAGACGTAATTTTTTCCTCCCAAGCTAGTCACATTACATGGACCAAATATATCCATGTGAATGAGCTCAAAGGTCTTTTGAGAGGTTATATCAGACTTGGATTTAAAGGATTTCTTAGTGTGTTTACCAGCGACACACACATCAAAGAAAAAGTCAGTTTTTTGTTTTAACATAGGAACACCTCTGACACAGTCTGACTTTGATAAGCTCACTACCTTAGGTAAACTAATGTGCCCCATTCTACGATGCCACAGTAGCTCTTGTTGATATGAGGCAACAAAGCACATTTCATGAAAGGCATCGAGGTTATGCATATCTATGACATACATGTTATTGACTCGATTTCCCACAAGAAGAGTCTTGTTATCATTTATCCTTTCAACGACACACATATCAGCTTTAAAAATGACACGATTTTCGTTACCGCAGAGTTGGCTAATAGACACAAGATTATGTTTTAGCCTTTGAACAAGTAACACATCACGAAATGATGGAAAAGGAAATCCTCCTATAGTGCCAATTCCTAGAATATGACACATCCATTATCACCAAATAGGACCTTAGCGCCGTCTTTAGGAATCAGAGATGAGAATAGATTTTCCTTACCAGACATATGGTGTGAGCAACCGCTGTCTAAATACCATTTATGTTCGTTTTCGTCTGAGGAGTTACTCTTATCAGTTGATTTGTCCGTGATTGCCATAAATGCTTCCTCATCAGCTGATTTCTCTTCAATTTCCGAGTCATATTCGCTCCAAGAGGCTTTCATTGCCCTTTCTTTGGCCTTCAAAGTCAGCGGACAATTTGCTCGAATGTGTCCTAACTTACCACATTTGTAGCAAGCTTGTGGTTCTTTTTCCTACACACCTGTCTCAAATTTTCTGGTCTCCTGAAAGGGCAGCCTAACTTGAGAGTGACTATTAGTATAATCATGTATTTGTTTCGTGATTCGTCAGGTCTCAAATTTTTATCATTTTTATACTTTAGCATACGATGAAATCGCTTGCTAACAAGAGCAAATTCCTTCTCGAAGTCAGACTCTGAATCACTCTCAGAATCCTGAATAACAACCTTGGACCTAAAAGCCAAAATTTTCTTGCGCTTATCATCATCTTGATTCACTTGTCTAATAACATTTTCATGACTCAATTGAGATCCAATTAACTCGTTTATATGCAGGGTTACGAGATTCTTTGCCTCCTCAATGGCAGTGCGCTTTGGCAACCATTCTTTAGGCAGAGACCTAAGAATTTTCCTATTGAGATCTTTAGTTTGGAAGGTTCTTCCTTATCCGTTTAATTTGTTAATTAGCACAGTGAACCTAGAATACATATCATGAATGCTTTCATTATTGATCATACCAAAAGCTTCATATTCATGAACTAACAACTCAATGCGAGACTCTTTAATGTTTGACGTATCTTCGTACGTACTTTCAAGAGCTGTCCAGATTTCTCTAGTTGTTTCACAGTTTTCGACTTGGTCTGCTTCGTCTGGATTCATGGCTGATTGAAGTACATGCATTGCTCATTGGTTCAATTGTGCACTCTTCTTTTGTGCAGCAGTCCACAGATGTTACTCTTCAACCTTTGCGTCGATCTGGCCATTCTGAATAATTAACCACAGATCTTCATCAACACCCCACATGAATTGCTTCATCCTCTTTTTCCACGCGGAATAATTTGATCATGTGAAGATTGGAGGATGATTCAGCGCTGCTTGGCCGAAGGATGATGCCGCCATTCGATCGTTGCCTTGGCAGGAGATACCTTCATCAAGGACTTGCTCTGATGCCAATTGAAAAAGGAAGAAGAGGAGAAGAAAAACTAGGGTTCGAAGAATGAGAAGAAAATAGAAAGAAAGAACAGGGGTAATGGGAAGACAGATCTTTGATCTGTCTCTTAGAATGTGATTCCGTTGTTCAAGAACTGGGCCTAACTTCTAGTTGACGGCCCGCTAAACACTTAGGCCCAGACTCGTTAGGCCCACCCACTTATCTCTGAAAGATGTCTTCTTCCTTGAGAAGAAGATTCCCAGATGCAGGGGAACTAACCAGAACAGGGGAAGAACAAAACTATCAATAACGAAATGCAGCAAGGAACTAAAAGTGACACAGGCAATTTTAACGAGGTTCCCAATCTACTGGTCACTCCTCGTCCCTGACTCAGTACTTCACTGATGTCTAGGAGACTCTTTTTATTCGATTTTCCTATCAAGCAGACTGTCACCAATCGTGACTCAAGACAACAACAGGAACAAAGAGAGAGCATTCAACCCGGATCCCAATTCCAGACCAGTTACACCGTTAATCAAACAGAACCTATTCCTTTGTTCTGATTAACCCAGATTGTAAGCAACCATGTTCCACCCTTACAAAAAGTACTTTAGCTAGTCAAAGAGCTTCGGTATATGTAGCCTCCAGACAATTCCTGACTGTTGCTTTTGAATGTAGAGGAAGGATTCATAAGGAAACTCTGAGTTGTCTCCGGTTGTCTTCCTTCCTTCTTTGGAGCAACTATGATTTGGTAATTTTGGTCAACATAAACACCGAACATAAAGATTTAGGTGGTCTCAATAGCGTAATAGTTAACCAATGGATTCTCCTAGAAGCTTTAGAATCATACGATTAACACTATTGTATCTTACGATGACATGAATGGTAAAAGGGAAACATCAATAGTGGGATGATGCATTTATATCAGGAGTGAGATGCATTGTAATACTCAGTCGAATGTTAAAAATATCAATCACTTACCACCAACAAGCGTAAATTATTGGGTAATTACACTATACTATATAACCCACCGCTAAAAAATAGAGCATCAATTAAAAAGGTAGGATAAACAATAAATTAGACTAAGACTAGGGCTGGGAAACGGTGCGGTCTGGTCCAGACCAGACCATATATACGATTTATGGTCCAGATCGAGAGGCTGAAGTATAGACCACAGACCAAACCACAAATTATACGGTCCGGTCCAAACCACGTCTGTGCGGTCTGGTTCGGTCTGGTCTGGTCCAAATAGACCACACTCTACGAAAAATGAATAATTTGTATAGTCAACCACACAATAACCAATAACCAAGAAAAATAATTTTTGTTTTCCTTAACACATTAATCCTTACATGCATGAATAATTTTGATACCCTAAATCTTAGTACACGACAAAGATACAAAGTAAAAGTATCCCAACTTGCACCATAACGTCATAAACATTAACATTGTCATATATAGACACAATTATCTCTACTCTCTGGTTAAATGTGGTTGTGAATGAAGGAGGGACGAGATTCACAAAACTAAAGTTGAGACTTGGGTGTCGTTGTGGGAGTTGGGAGAGTGTTCGAATGGGCAGTTAACAAGTATTGACAAGTCGGTTGGGTTCACGGTTTTGGTCCGGTAAACCGTGGTCTAGACCAGACCAGACCAAGAGATCAAAATATAAAATAATACAGACCATGGACAAGACCAGACCATACTTAACGGTCTACGGTACGGATCAAACTGTGTTGTACGATTTGAATCACAGTTTTTCTAATGGTCTGGTCTATTTTCCCAGCCCTAACTAAGGAGCATTTCTACTATGCTATATAGTATTGGTGCTTTAATGTACAACTTAAAGTTGTACCATAACATGAAATGTATAAGTTTAGATTGTACCATAAAAGAATTTGTACCATTATGTTATGGTACAACTTTACAACTTGAAGTTGTACCATCACATAAAGGTACAAGTTCAAGTTGTACCATTAATGAATTTGTACAAACAGTATAGGTATAATCTAAAGTTGTACCATAATGTTAAAGATACAATTTCAAGTTGTACCATAAAGACAAAAAACCTATATCACCAATACTATATAGCATTGTAAAATTCCTCCAAGACCATAATTGCAGTTTCCTAGTACTTGTAGTCTATACATGCAACAAGCCAATATCTTTATAGGTCTATAAAGTATAAACCCTGTTATGAATACTACCAAAACAAAGTATGAGCTCTACAAACGCACTATGTCTTAGATTTATATTACACATTAATTTTATAACCACATAACCCAAGACATGACAATTGGAGAAGGTATAATATTCGTGTAACTATATATATTATCCCTCATCATCATGAGAGTTAAATGTGCTCGAATTTTCTCATCACATTATGCATTGAGTTCCCTAAGATATTCTAACAAACACCTTATAACCTGCATTGTTAGTTGGTGGCGAGAACATAGTAGTATTCAAATTTTGATTAGGAAGGAGAAACTTTACAATTTATAACTTAACGGAGAGGAGAGACCCCAACTCAAGCTGTTGTATGAAAGAGAACAACTTGAATGAATTTGAAATATGAATGTATACAGAAGGATCGCATAACTCGCTCTAACTACAACTTACTAATCGACAGTCAAGTATAATTGACGATCTGGTGTAAAATAAGGTAAGCAAGCAATAAAAATGATCATACTACGGGGATCTAAACTTATCTTTCTTCAGGTTTAGGGTTCGTTATCTAGCCAACCAAGAATAGTGCTTAGGAAAACTAAACTAATTAACCTAGCTAACCACTAACCTAACTATTTACAAGGTTCGGAGCTCTCTTGGATTACATCCCCCTAGTTCCGAGTTTTGGATAATCGTTGAGTACCACCCTAGTTCGATCATCTCAATTACTCTACCGTCTGGAGATAGACTCCCTCGAGATTGACCCGGAACGACAAATCGATGAAGGGGTAGGTGCTCTATTCAACCTAGGGTTTCATATATTGCTAGGAGACTGATTGAATCAACTCCCTCAGGGATTACCCAAACAATATACACTACAAGAAAAAGCATCAGTAACGACGAAAAAATAACGATAGGAGTGACATGAAGATGTCAATAAAGGGCTCTAAAGGGATTTTCTCCCTCATAGGTCAAAAGCTCAATACATGAAATGAAAACCCAACTCATGCCATTCATTAAAACATCCATCAATTAAGTACAATCATCAATCAAACATTGAATTTGTCACATACATCAACATAAAACCAAAACATAGACCTAGGGTTCCTAAACCCAATAGAAGAGGGCAAGTTTCTAGAGAGAGAAGAGAGAGATTAAAAATTGGAGCACAAGTTCTTCTTCTAGGCTTTATTCTTTGCTTCCAAACTTGATTAATGCCTTCAATTAACTTCCAAAATCACTCAAGAACTCTCTCTCTCTCTAGAACTCCCCTTTGATGTTTTGGGTTGAAATCCTAGAGAGAGAATCAATTTCGCCTCCAAAAACTAGCTCTCCTTTCTCTTTCCCCGCTGCTGTCTTTTATATAGCCCGACGGTCGGTTTCACAGTCACTCTTAACGGTCGTGACGTCGGAAGCCCGGCCGTTATCTTGATAAAAAATGCAATTGACAGTTGTCGTTTTTGTCCGACTTCACGGTCTGTGGTAAATTTTCACAGTTTGGCAATGGTGAATACCTTTAGGCCCGTGAGACGTGCACAGTGCTCTTGACTCCTCCAATTACCAAGTCAAACGATCAAGAAATGAAGCGTAAAAATATGTGTAATTAGCCTCGAATCATGGCAACCTGAGGTGTTCAAATGAATCTCACGCCAACAATGAAATATATGCAAAAAAGCAATGGATAACAAAACTATATAAATTTTCATGCAACCACTGCTTGGGCTAGTCAAAATGCAGATGAATGTGAGTTGGTGCTTGTTGGACGAAAAATATCGAAAACTGAAATTATCCAACTTGACATCTCCGAGTAATTTTTTTAAATATGAAAAAATGTATGTATTTTTGGTGTAAGCGCTTAACAATTAAAAATGAAAAATGGACTAAACTAACTCAATTAACGTGTGATTGCTCTTGGGTGATATGTAATTTGAACAATTTAAACTTATGCCGCTGAACGATAATTCTTTGAGAACAAAACATTTAAGGCAAAGTTTGTTTGTGTTCTTCAACATTGCAGCAATTGAATGATGATTGTTTGCATCATATGAAGACGATGATCTTCGCTATGCATTTGAATTTACTTGTAGATGTATCCAGTAAGGGTTGAGCCTCTAGCTATGTAATTACCAATTGCCCGGGAGAAGAAGTGTCATTGGATTCCCTTTACTCTGTTTTTCCCCCCCGTACTTCCTCACATAACGTGTTTGAGTCATTTCATCCTTTCATACATAAATAAATTCGTCTATCATTATTAAAAAAAATAAACATCTATCTTGAAAAAGTAAACAAAATATAAAACCATCATGTACTTATTTTGTATTTTGTTTACAACACAGATTCACTAGATAACTCCACCAATAAACACCATTTTCTGGTCCAATACCGAACCAATTTAACTGGTTGAATCAAATGGAGGCGCCTGCACCTTTAATCCACCACACGGGAAGAGATCAAACCTATCAGCATACAGTTGGGAATTTACAGTAGACTGCTATGGCAAGCAAATTAGCAGATGCTACAAAGTACGGGCAATCCTCTCCTGGACTTGCATCTCCGCGCGGAAGCTGGAAATGAACTCTTCAGCTCTCTCGTCGATCCCCGTCATCAGAGGCGATGAAATTCCCATCGAATCCCACATATCATCGTCATCATCAGCTTCTCCGTTGGCCTTAGCATCCACCGTGCTCTTCCCACTCGACGTTCCACAGTAGTGACGACTTATCACAACCTCCGTCACGTTACGGTTCGGTGGCTCCACTTTGAAGAGGTTGTCGACGAACACAGGGGCGGCACAACAACTCTTGTTCAAGTAGTGCAGCCGGAGGCGGCCGCGGCCGCCCTTTCTCTTGAAGGGCAGCAGAGCACGCGCCAGGCCGCCGCCGCTGCCTCGTTGCTGCTTGCTCTTCCGGTGCTTGGACTTGTGGAGGAAAGGAGTAATTGCTCCGTAGGGTTTGGTGGTGAAAGTGAGAGCGACGGCGGAGCTGTGTTTGGGTGGATGAAACTTCATGGGTTTTGGATTGTGGAGGCTGTGGAGCTTGCTTCGGAGCTTGTTGGTGAAGCTCTTCCATGCCTTCTTGGCCGGAGGAAGCCGGAAGTTGAAGCACGACATGATCGGGCGGGGGAGGGAGGTAGGACGACAATGGTTATAATTACTAGGTGAGAGTGAGCGGTGAAATGAGATGCAGCTTTTATTTATAAGAAGAGACGTAGTGGCAAGTGGTAGGCAGTGGGATTCTTGTTTTGGGGGGGGCAAAGCGTGTCGGCTTTTCATGTGAACTTGCAAAGGGGGATCGTATTCCATTTTCACCCGCCTTAGCTTACTTTCTACGCGCAATATCAAGAATTTCGTACCAGAAAAATTCCCAACTGTGCGCGCGCTTGTTTCGTACGCATAATTTCTGATTTTGCGCAAATATTTTTAGGGAAAAGGTAGTATTTTCACAAAGTTTTGATAATTTCACCTCTCAACAATTGTAATGGTAACTAGTAGCAACAAACAAACGCCACTAAGTTTTGATTTTTAGTTTATATTAACCTCAATTACAAAATATATTAATTTGAAGTTAAATGGAGGTCACCAAATAATAATAATAATTATTATATTATTAAAAGGACAAGCACTTTTCATTGTTTATTAAAAAAAAATAGGCTATTTTTTTCCACGAGTACTGTTCACAATGGGTTTTTATTCCATTACCCAATTTTACCATAAGCCTTTTTTCTCATTTTCTGCAATAGTATTCATATGAGTTTTATTCTCTACAACCACTTCTACAATAAGTCTAAAATTTATAAGCAATTATTATTACACCAATGAAATATTTATGTAACAAGATTCAATAATAGTTACATACATAAACCCAATTTTAACATAAGCCCTTTTTTCTCTTTTTCTGCAATATTATTCATATGAGTTTTATTCCCTACAATAATTATTATTAGACCACATATTATAAAATATTTTTGTAACAACATTCAATAAAATTTACATAAATTAAAAATTCGTCAATGTTACTTACTATAACTTGATTATACTATTAGACCACACATTATGAAAATTTATGGAATAACGTTCTATACCTACATGAGTTTTTCTTAATGATTAGAAACTACGTAAAATTTATGGACAAATAATCATTTATGTATCAATTAAAAAAAAATAATATTTAAGTTTTCTATAATAATTAAACACTACCTAAACTTTATGTAGAAATAGTTATTTACAATGTATCACTTAAACAATCGGATGACGCATGTTATTCGTAATGATTAAGAAATAACGTGAAACTAACATTTGTATCTTATCTGAATAATTTTATAAATGATTTGATTTCAATTAAATCATTAGTTTCTTACCGCGACGGAGCACGGACCAAAAAACTAGTATTTTTTAAAGTGTATAATAATTGGAAAATCTTGTGTGTCCACATCATAATGAAAATTTCTACTATATTTTATTGCCAAGATGGTGCAAAGTAACTTCGTTCCTCCAAGTGCTATATGCTGCATACTTTATATATTATATTAGGCGGTGATGCGCGCTTTGTCTCGCGTTTATTAGCAACCGTGTGGGTAGTTGTCTGTTTGGATACAACTCTGATCTGAATATGATTATGTTCTTTTAATTTTATTTATGATAAGAAATCGTTGATTTTCTTGTGATTTTTTTGTAGATGGAGACTCTTGAAAAGGTCAAACAAAAATATATTTTATGAATACATTTTATTTTACGAATTTAAAAAAATAGTTCAAGATATGCCCTAAATTTAATCATCTAGTATTTTCCACATTTTTACGAAACTCACCACCTCTCTAGTAAAGTTGTCAACCTGTAGGTTGGCCTGTATTTCTTACCATCAACCCACCAACTCAATCGGACCAACAGGCTAAACCGGATTGAGAACCTTATATTTAATTGATGTGATTTTAGACTTTTAATAGATTTGTCAAGGTAATAAAGGAAGAAATGCTGAGAGATTATCAAAAGTAAATAACTGAAGCTCCACATTAATGCAAACCTCCCAAAATTCATTAGTTGTAAAAAAAAAACCATAAAGAGGCCCAATCGGCTAGAGAGTTTAGGTAACAGTAACTGTGGTTTTGTTTTATATATATTAACAAGCCAAAGAGATGCCTTCCACCATTGTTTTTGCTTCCGCTTCCAAAGGAGAAGCACATCCAGTGGCGGATCCAGGGGGTGGCCACCTCGGGTCCCGGCCCAGCCCTCCTCTGGATCCATAGTTAGTATAGGCCTTATGAATTTTTCGATTTTAGATATTCGGGTCGTTGTTATTTTATAATAAGATTGGGTATAATTAGAAAAATAATTCAGATGAACATATTCAAAATCACTACTCTAAATTTAGCTTATAAATTCTAACCCCAAAGGTTATTCGTCTAAAAAAATAATGAAACCTAAAAATTCAAAAAGTTTAAAACATAAAAGACTAAAACATATATGAGGTTCGTTACCTTGGAAAATTTACTAGAGCAACTGGTGGATATAGGGATGGAAACACAATGCAAATTGATTAGTATATTGATTTGTCTAGTGTTGATGTTGCTCGTTTCAACATCTAATACGAATAGAACCTTTTCAACAACGAAACATGTGAAAATTGATTTGCGCAACAAAATGAGCGATGGATTTCTAGTCGATATCTCAAGTATTTTATTTGAAATAGTGTATATTATTGGTATGGACGTGGACTCCATTATTAATGCATTCGCTAAATTAAAATACCGTCGTGTACAATTTACATTGTAAAAAAATTATAATCATTATATTTTTTTACTATTCTAATTTTCTAATAAAATGCGGCCTAGTGCACTTCTGTGTTCTGGATCCGCCGCTGAGCACATCGGAATGTTACCAAGCCAAAAAGCCGCATAAAATTTGAAGGGCATGCTGTTGAAAGTCCATAATTGTTACTTAAAGCTCACAAATGGAAAATGAAGCGCATTAGTTAGTTGCTGGGTAGGGATTAGTGGACCAATAATTAGTAGGCTGTCAAGGAAAGTTAGGCAACAGTAACACAACTTGAGCTTTATATATACTAGTAAAAGTCTGCTCACTATTACTTCGGCGTGTAAAAAAAAATAATTAAGATTCTACCGACAGTATTTCGAGATGGGCTGCAAAAATAGAGGGCAAAAATGATGATTGTGCGAAAAGCATTAGATGAAAACTAGCGAACAATAGCTAAACACCAAGGTTATAGAATAGAGAGTAAGGTAAAAGAAGGACTTGAAACTTTCTCACTTGCACTTGGAGGAGTGTGAAAGCCACTAATGAATAGTAACTCCAATGTTAGGTTGTGAGTTACCACGAGTTTTAGAGCCATTTATGAATATTAACTAACAACTTAGGCTTTTATTTAGTATATATATACTAATATAAATAGCACATGTTTTGAGGAATTTAATCAGGCACTGCTAGCGAAATTGGCTTGGCGTCTTTGGAAAGAGCCAAATTCACTGGTGGCACGCTTGCTGAAAGGAAAGTATTATCCTCGTACGTCTATTCTCAAGGCTTCCCCTGGTTCTCCCCCTTCTTGGGGATGGCGTGGGATTCTTCATGGGAGAAATCTGTTGCGACAGGGTTTGTGTTTGCAGGTAGGATCGGGCACAATGGTGGATGTTCTTCATGATAATTGGGTGCCTCGTCTTCATCCATGCCCACCTTGTGCTCGGCAAGGGATTGTCAGGGTGGATGGGATGGTGGCTTCACTGATTCAGCCTCAACAGGGGGCGTGGAGGATGGATTGTCTACGTCAAATATTTGAGGAAAACACGGTTCGGGCAATTGCGGCTATTCCCCTGCCTATTGATCCCGTTCCTGATCGCTTGGTCTGGAATGGGGAATCTTCGAGTGTGTATTCCGTTAAGTCGGGGTACCACTTAGCTTCTCAATTGCGACGAGAGAAGGAGTTGGTGAATAAGCAAGGGGTGGCTCCTTGGGATCATGGATTATGGAAGAGGGTCTGGTCCGCATCCTTGCCTATGAAATCGAAGTATTTCATATGGAAACTGGTGTGCCGGGTTTTGACGACATGGGAGGCACTCAGCCTGAGAGGGGTGGATGGTGTGCGGGAGTGTCCGGTGTGCGGGGAGGAGGAGGAGTCTCTTGAACACCTCTTCTTTCGCTATAGGGTGGCCCAGGGGGTCTAGGGAGGGACTGGTCTTGATGGGGTTCGAGATAGTTTTCCCCAAGATCACATGGCAACTTTCTAGAGACGGTCCTCGAAGAGGATAATTTGGATTGTCAGGTTTTAATGCAGGTCGTGGCCCTGTTTTGGCGGATTTGGAAGGCGCGGAATTGGGTGGTGTTTGACTTTACTCTATACACCATACCTGTTTTGCTTTCTCAATTTCGTTTGCAGGTGGTGGAATGGGAGGTGGCGAATGAGGCACATCCGGTCGTGGATGGTGGTGGTGGCATGGCCGAGCTTTCCGGGGGTCTTAATCAGGTTCTTAGCCCGGGCCTTTGGGTGGTTCGGGTTGATGGGGTTGTGAGATGCGGGTCTCATGGTGCTGGGGGTTGGGTGTTACAAGATCCGTTTGGAAGAGTGGTGACCGCGAAGGCGAGGCTATATGAGTTCATTGAGGATCCTTTCCTTGTGGTGCAGTTGGCTTTCCGGGATGCGATGCGATGGTGTCTAGCTCGGGGCTTGACAACGATTCTTTTTGCGAGGGATGCTAAGGTCGTCGTTGACAAGCTCGTGGCAGGAATGACCAATGATACTCGTAGGGGGACGATTCTCGAGGAGATGATGGTGCTTCGTCAATCCTTTGTGCATTTCTCTGTCCAGTTTGTTGGTAGGCATTGTAATAGGGTTGCCCATTTGGTGGCATGAAAAGCCCTTTCATTGTTTCCTTCTTTAGTTGGGTTCGATTTTTTTTTTTTTGGCTGTTTTCGGCCATTTGAACTCCTTTGTATCTGTCTGTTTTCTCGGTAATACGAGCGATCGTTTTGATAAAAAAATAGCGCCTGTTTAGCATTCGGGGTCTTGTTGGAATGCGGGGGTGTTCACCATTAGCAACCATACACCCTCTTTCCCTGTGCCGTGATTTTCTCCGTTCTCCTCCAATTTCCGATTCGTCAACCGGCTAGCCGCTAGCGATTAGGCAAGTCCAACTGGTGGTATCTCTGGGTATTTGCTTGGTAGGCAACTCTTTCCCCTTTTCCCCCTCAGCCGATCCCCTGGCGGCCGGCCAAGCTAAGGTGAGATCGGAGTTGGATAGTCGGGGTTGCTGCGAAGCTGGGCTCGGAGTTGGATAGTCGTAGGTGCAATCACTAATCGGCCCAACTCCAAATCCCAATAGCTGAATAATTTGGTTTAATTTTGCAACTCTTCCTGTCTACGTTTCTTCAACACTGCTGGCGGGCTCATCAGATTGGAGCTCGAAAAGGAGGGAATATAAAAGGATAGTTATACATATCCTATTCTTAGTACATAGCCTTGTTTGGCTTTAGGGGTTTCTTGGTCTTTTCCCTTTTTAGCCGCAGGTCTCTTGTAACGCTAGGAAGACTAGTTGATTAGGGTTATATATATTTGATGTAAGTGTATCGACTAAAACTAAGAATGAATAAGCTGAGATAGCACAATTTCTCCGTGGAGTAAGCTCATTCACACCGAATGAGAAGAACCACGTAAATATCATCTCGTGTGTTTGTGTTTTGCGTTCTACAAATCTTTCATGGTATCAGAGCTGGTTTATTAAAACCTAATATTCACAATGAGTGGCATGAACTCTGATGGCGGCAATCGTGATCTAGTCAACCCTAATGGCGGCGGAGGAGGTGGTGTCCCACCTTTGGTCATCCCTGCTGTGTTGCGGATCCAAGCTTCAGATAATCCCGACCAATTGTTCGTTGGTGAGTTGTTAACCGACTCCAATTACGGGGAGTGGGTCATGGACATGACCGAGGCCTTGATCGCAAAGAACAAGCTCGGCATAGTCGATGGAATAGTAGTCAAGCCGGAGGCTGCAGGCGAGTTGCAGGTAGCGTGGCTTCAGTGCGATGCCCTCGTCAAGAGATGGCTGAAGACAGCCATGGACAAGGAGGTACGTAGTTCGATCCGATACGCGAAAACTGCGCGTGAGATGTGGATTGACCTAGAGGCGCGATTTGGACGTGGATCAGTGCCTAGAGCCTATGAGCTCCGTCAAACCTCAGTGCATTGAGGCAAGAAAAACTCACGGTCTCAACGTTCTTCACCAAGCTGCGAGCCATTTGGGAAGAAATGCAAACCATTACGCCTATTCCGCGATGCACCTGTGGGCTGTGCACGTGTGAAATAGACAAGAAAGTGATGAGTAATCAAGAGAATGATCAACTTTTTGATTTCCTCTTGGGATTGGGAGATGCATTTGGAACTGTCAAGACACAAATCCTATCTATGAAGCCTACTCCGACTCTCGGTGAGGCCTATCGCCTGGTATCGACGAAGAGCAGCACAAACAGATTGCTGCAAGCAGGCGCCCTACTATCGATGCTGCTGCCTTTCAGGTTTGCCAGGATCGCCCCGCGGTGGATGTGAACAGGAGGGAGGAGTGAGCTCGTAGCAGTGATTGTAAGGAGCGGCAGCGCTGCAGTCATTGTCAGCGTCCTGTGCACTCAAAGGAAAACTGCTACGAAATAATCGGTTGGCCCGAGAGGAAGCCTCGAGCAGGAGAACGAGAGAGAGATCGCGATCGTGAGTCGCGCCCAGCTGAACGCGAGAAGGAGCACAGTTGACCCAACAATCCTCGCGCTGCGCAATCCTCGACTGGAGCAGGGGTTAGCATTCCGGGGCTGAGTTCAGATTAGGTGCAACAGCTCTTGGAATTTCTCAACCATAACGGACGGCAGTCGAGCCTGTCCTCGGCATTCGATCCGCAGGTGAATATGGCAGGTACGTCTCTCTCACAGTCTGAGTGGATTATAGATTCGGGATGCAATGAGTATATTACGAACGATGAATCATTGTTAGAAAACTCTGTGGAAGTTTCGGGTTACTTGCCAGTCAGCATTCCGAATGGGGATAAAATTACAGTTAAACGGGTTGGTAAAGTCAGTTTATCACATGGAATGAAGCTTAGTCGGGTGATCAGTCTTCCGTTGTTTAAGTGCAATCTCTTGTCAGTCAGCAGGCTCACTCAAGATTTTGATGTCGCTTTGACCTTTTTATGCGATTTTTGCGTAATCCTGGACTTAAACTCCAAGAGGACGATTGGGACGGGACAGCTCCGTGATGGGCTCTATTATCTTCGTCTATATGGTGCTGATGGATCTCAGGCTTTGGGGGCCAGCGGTGACATTGAAATGGGGGAGCTTTGGCATGCTCGGTTGGGCCATCCGTCACTGAAAAAGACACCTTTGTTATTTCGTTCCAGTCAAAATAAATGCAGTAGTGAGACCTGTGATTCTTGTATGCGTGCTAAACAGACACGGTTGCCTTTTCCTAGACATTCGATAAAAACCAGTCGTTGTTTTGAGCTCATTCATGTGGATATTTGGGGCAGTTTCAAGGTTCCTACTCAAAATTCAGCTCGCTATTTTCTCACAATTGTTGATGATTTTAGTAGAGCAACGTGGGTTTACCTCATGTCTTACAAATCGGATGTTGAGGGGTTTTTAAAGATGTTCATTAACATGGTCATGACTTAGTTCAGTCAGCAAGTGGCACGTATCCAAGCTGACAACGGGTTAGAGTTTCAGATAGGTAGTCTTCGTGCTTTCTATGACGATAGGGGCATTGTTCTGCAGACCTCTTGTACCGACACTCCTCAGCAGAATGGGGTGGTCGAGAGGAAACATTATCGTTTACTTGAAACAGCTCGAGCCCTTCGATTTCGAGCAAATTTGCCTTTAAAGTTCTGGGGTGATTGTGTCCTGACAGCAACTTATCTCATTAATCGATTGCCCTGCAAAGTTTTGCAGGATCGTTCTTCGTACGAAATTCTACTTGGAAAGGCGCCTTCTTATGATCATCTTTGTGTCATGGGTTGTTTGGCATATGGCAAAGACACTCATAAAGAAATCTCTAAGTTTGATGAACGTGGAAGACGTTCGGTGTTTATGGGGTACCCGGCTTTCCAGAAGGGTTATCGTCTATTTGATCTCACGTATCGGTTCTTTTATGTCTCTCGAGATGTTCGTTTTGTGGAGAATATTTTTCCATTTGAGGAAACCATGTCCTCACCTTCGCCGATGCCTACTCCTTTGCCCGCGTCTGCTGTAGTGGATGACGAAGACTCTCATCACGTGGCGTTGCCTGAGAATGGTCAAGCACTCCCCTTGTCGTCCGATTTGCATGACCATGCACGTGAGCAGCAGCAGGGTCGCACTTCCTCTGCAGCCGAGCAACGCCCTGGCATCACAACCACGTCCGCACCAGCGCCAGTTGCCCCTGTGTCTCCTGATCCGCCAGCCGTTGCTCCCCGTCGCAGTGATCGAGTCCGCCAGGTTTCTCGGCGGTTAGATGGGTATGACGTCCAGTTGCCTCCATCTAATGTGCAGTATCCCATGTCTCATTATGTCAGTTATGACACCTTCTCTCCCAAGCACCAAAGTTTCTTGGCCGCAATCTCTAGTCAGGTTGAGCCCACGAGTTTTCGAGAGGCAGTTCAGTATGAAGAATGGAGGATTGCAATGCAAAAGGAAATCGACGCATTGGTTGGTAATGGTACTTGGACTCTTGTCAGTTTGCCTCCTGGAAAACGTGTTGTTTCTTCGAAATGGGTCTATAAAATCAAGTTCAATTCCGATTGTTTTGTTGAGCGGTACAAAGCCCGTCTTGTTGCCAAGGGATTCACTCAAACAGAAGGTATTTATTATCATGATACCTTTGCCTCGGCGGCGAAGTTCGTGGCTGGGTCGTTCATCAACTTGACTTTGATAACGCTTTTTTGCATGGGGATCTTCATGAGGAAGTGTATATGCAAATTCCACAGGGTTTTGCAGCTCCTGGCGATTCCCGAGTTTGTCGGCTTCACAAGTCCATCTATGGACTCAAGCAAGCCTCTCAGAACTGGTATGCTAAGTTTGCTGCCACGCTTACTGGTTTGGGGTTTACACGATCTAGTGCTGATTACTCTTTATTCGTTCGTCGTAGTCATGGCACATACGTTGTTGCCCTCATCTATGTGGATGACATCATCCTGGCAGGTGATGATTTGGCCCTCATTCAACAGGTCAAGGATGCTCTTCATAGTCAGTTTGGCATAAAGAATCTGGGACCACTTAAGTACTTCTTGGGGATCGAAGTTGCTCGCTCCCGTGCTGGTATTGCACTTTGTCAATGTAAGTACACTTTGGACCTTCTTCGTGACAGTGGCTTCTCAGGTGGTCGTCCTAGTGTTTTCCCTATTGAGTAGCATCATCAACTCACCCGACATGATGAACATGTTGTCCTGGTTCCTCCGGATGCTGCTGCTGCTTACCGTCGTCTTATTGGTCGGTTACAGTACCTCACAGTCACGCGCCCAGATATTGTCTATGCAGTTAATATCCTCAGCCGCTATGTTCATGCGCCTACGTCTGCGCATGTGGCTGGTGCTGAGCGTGTTCTTCGTTACCTCAAGAATGCACCAGGTCAGGGCATTCTTCTCCCTTCGAGTGGCCCTCTTCACTTGACAGCTCATTGTGATGCCGACTAAGGCGGCTGTCAAACCACTCGTCGGTCGACTTCTGGTTACTTTATCACCCTTGGTGGTGCCCCGGTTTCTTGGAGGACCAAGAAGCAATCTGTTGTCACGCGATCTTCTGCTGAGGCTAAGTACCGCCCCATGGCCAGCACTGTTAGTGAAGTTATCTGGCTTCGCGCACTTCTCAGGCATATGGGTGTCGCCAGCACAAGTCCCACAATCCTTAATTGTGATAATTAGGAGACTCTTCACATTGCCGCCAACCCCGTGTTCCATGAACGCACGAAGCACGTGGAACTTGACTACTACTTCATCCGTGACCATGTCACCTCCGGTGAGATTCGTCCTCAGAAAGTCCACACTGCGGTTCAGCTTGCAGATTTGTTCACTAAAGGTCTCGCCGGTGACCGTTTTCATTCTCTCTTGTCCAAGCTGGGCATTTGTAACCTACATGCCTCAACTTGTGGGGGAGTAAAAGGATAGTTATACCTATACTATTCTTAGTACATAGACGTGTTTGGCTTTAGGGGTTTCTTGGTCTTTTCCCCTTTTAGCCGCAGGTCTCTTGTAACCCTAGGAAGACTAGTTGATTAGGGTTATATATATTTGCTGTAAGTGTATCGGCTAAAACTAAGAATGAATAAGCTGAGATAGTACAATTTCTCCGTGAAGTAAGCTCATTCACACCGAATGAGAAGGACCACGTAAATATCGTCTCGTGTGTTTGTGTTTTGCGCTCTACAAATCTTTCAGAATAAGGGCGAGAACAGGTGGAATAAGAGACTGAGTGAGGATTTCAGGGGCAGGATACATTCTGATCAACGAGGATTTCGACGAATTGGGGGAAGTAGAGATTACAGTGGGAGGGATTGCATGAGTTACACGTTGTCATATGAGGATGCCACTTGGCCACCTTTACTAACCTTCTTCTCTGGTGGTTTTGTTTCCAAATTCCATCTTATTAGTTATTACCATATTTCATGGTTTCTTTCTGGACTATAAAAATACAAAATTAACATTTATCTTTCAATCTTATGATGGGAAATTATGAACCCTATCTTTAAGAAGAGCTACATGCAGGGTCAATGAATTCGTACAATGAATCCCGATTATTTTATTTTATGCATTCAGAATGTGAGTTTAAGAATGTATATTGTTAAGTAGAATATAATAATTGATGTAAAAGAACTGTGTACTTATTGCTATGTCATCCAAGAGACAAAAAATTAAAATTTGATTTACTTATTCATTATCCAAGTAGTGCTTTTTGGAAAGCAATGTAATGTATTTTTCATTTTTTCTATATTAGAGTGAACTGTTGGACCACTAAAATGTGAATCGTAGAGACTGTATAGGCATGTTACAAAAACTGCTAGAGTAATGTTATAAAACCGCTAGAGTAATGACAATTAAGTAGGCATACTTTTTTAATTAAACGAAATTCCATCTTATAATGAGAGTAATATATTTTTCATATTCATTGTTTTTATTTCATATAAAGTCGCTTGAGCCTTTATTTAGTGAGTTTGTCACCATCTCAAAATACCTCTATCTCCACTATTTTGGTCACAATTAGTTCACCAAGACTCCATATCTAATTGTTGAAGACACTTCACGTAAATGAGTACTCACATGAACTCCATTATACAACCCAGTTTTATTTTAGAACTAATTAATATTGCATTATTTCAATTCACTTAAGTCTTAGAACTTCCTAAATAATGGCTCAAATGAGTAAAAGTCCATCTATGTAGCTTTTATACGACTCGCCGCATAGCGCTAGCCAATTAACTAATATTAATATAAAACTCGTGGTAGCGGGCTTGAGAAATGATGGTGGGGAACAACTTAAGATTCTGCGGACTGTATTTCGAAATGAGCTGCAAAAATAGAGGGCAAAGGCGATGATGTGCGAAAAGCTATAGATGAAACCTAACGAACAATAACTAAACACAAAGGTTGTATAATAGAGAGTGGGGTAAAACTAAAAGAAGGACTTGGAACTTCCCCACTAGCACTTGGATGAGTGTGAAAGCCACTAATGAATAGTAACTCCAATGTTAGGCTTTAATATATTAACTAGTATTAATATAAAACTCTCGTGTACGCGGCCTTGAGAAACGATGGTGGGGAACAACTTAAGATTCTGCCGACAGTATTTCGAGATGGGCTGCAAAAATAGAGGGCAAAGGTGATGATTGTGCGAAAAGCTATAGATGAAAACCTAACGAACAACTAAACATAAAGGTTATAGAATAGAGAGTGGGGAAAAACTAAAAGAAGGACTTGGAACTTCCCCACTGGCACTTGGAGGAGTGTGAAAGCCACTAATGAATAGTAACTCCAACGTTAGGCTTTTATATATTAATAATATTAATTAATATACGTTGTGAGTTATCGCGAGTTTGAGAGCCACTAATGAATATTGATAAGCTTCATAAACATACATGAATTCTGTCCATAAATGAATGATCCTTATGTATGTATGTGATTAAATTGCTCTAAATTAGTTCATATTGACCATGAAATGGCCCCAGTATCATTACCAAGACATGTAGTGATTTAATGCAGATCTAAGATTGTGAACAAAACAAAGTGCAGTGGACGAATGCAGATGCAGTGGCAAACGTCCAGCAGGATGCCAAACTGATAAAGACCAAAATTGAATTATTGTTGGTTGGAATCTTCACTCTACCGTCAGCAGCCTCAGAAATCATTGGAATTGGATCAGTTTTCTTGAAGTGAGCAAATGGATTTGGTGGCTTGCCAATTGATAAAAAAAATGCGGAAAAATAAATGGAAGGAGAGAGACTTAAGCTGGCAGCAGCTTTCTCTTGAAAATGGGATCTGCAATTGCCTTGTTTTGTGGGATTAAATCTATAGAAAATGGATTTAAAAGGGACAGCCACTAGGAGACTTAGTAGACACTTTTGGAGACAGATTTTGGAGAGAAAAATCAAATGAGAGAGCTACTTTGACACACTTGGGAGTTGAGCATTTTGAAGAAAGGAAGACTCTTGTAAGTTGGGGATTAAATTCAACATGCACTTAGTACTTTCTCTACTCCTTTGTTTAGGCAATTTAGAGGTATCCCGACTGTAGAAAGATGGATTAAATTTATTAACAAGGGTAATTAAATTTATTGAGGTAAAATAGTAAAATCGTGTATTTCCCCCGAAACTCTCCTATATCAATTTCTCCAAAATAGTTGATTTATCGAGTTTGTTAATTTACGTATTTATGCAACTCATCACTTGATTACAATCATTGCAGTTTCTATAGTTTCTCGAACTAAATTTGTTAACTATTGAACTTCACCAATCCCCTAGAGAATGATAAGTTTACTTACACTTTATTACTTATACGACACTGTGCACTTGCAGTTTTGTTGCCACCAAATAGTAACTCACAACCTAGGTTTTTATATATTAATATAAAACTCGTGGTAGCGGGCATTGGAAACGGTGGTGGGGAACAACTTAAGATTCTGCTGAAAGTATTTCGAGATGAGCTGCAAAGAGGGCAAAGGCGATGATTGTGCGAAAAGCCATAGATGAAAACCTAATGAACTATAACTAAACACAAAGAATGTAGAATAGAGAGTGGGGTAAAAGAAGGACTTGGAACTTCCTCACTTACACTTGGAGGAATGTGAAAGCCACTAATGAATGGTAACCCCAATATTAGGCTTTTATATATTAATTAACAACTAGAGAGTGCTTGAAAAAAAGGTTCTGATTTGAGTATAAGTGAATCTGCATGAATATAGAATATATGATAGAATGATGAGATACCCTAATATGAGACAAGAGTCTATCTCCATATTTTTATAACTGAAGTCTCAAAAGAAGGGACATGGTCACATGAGGCATGAACACTAGTTTGTCAAATTATATGAACAATATCGGATTGATCCAAGGGATATAAGATATATTTAGGATACTGCTAAAATTTGGAAAAAGATTTACTGATCCATGTAGTAATTTTCAGTTTGGGAAAAGGTAAAAAAGGAGGTATGTTATGTTTAATTTTGCGCAAATATTTTATGACCGAAGCCTGGAGGGAAGCGAGATGATCAAGTATGGGAACTAGTTTGTGAAATAGTATGGAAGATTATAACGTACATTCAGGGACAAACCCATAAGTTGTTACTGGTATCTCGCAAAAACACTCTTAAATTTGAGGAATAAAGTTCGCAATGTTAGTGTGTGGTATAAGATTCACTATTGAACCTCTTCTAACAACTCGAGTTATTGCCTTATTGGTATCAATTGGTTCTTGACATGATATCAGAGTCTTCTGTGATTGAGAGGTCTTGTGTTTGAATCCCCACGACCCCCATTTGTTAAACACATGGTATCTTTCCTAACAACTCTATTGAGATCAACTAGTTCTTGACACACAATTCTCAGTAGTATTGTGAGTTATGCAATAGACTAAAAAAATAGAAGATAATTTCTATGATATGAAATAATGACTCTATTGTGATTAGAGAACATATTTATCCTTTACACATTTACACTACAAGTCATTTTCTATTACATATATACATTTAAGACATTGAATTATGTGTAATCCGAGGCAAAGTCTAACTTAACCTCAATTCTCCTTATTTTGCATCCAAACCTTTATAAATAAAATTCCCTTCAGTATCCTTCTGTCATTAAGAAACCAAGAAACCAAGCAACGAGACTGTCGACTTCCTCTTTTTCAATGCGTGGCTTATTTTAGCACAATGAATAAATTTGCCGCTTTTGATAATAAAAAGCTGGCAAACTTTAATCAATTCTATCCTAATGATTAGTTATTAACTAGTCTTGGGTTCCATTACTGGTACCTTCTTATTCCTCAAATGCATGCATTGTTCTCAAGAATATTCGGGTGGGCCTCAGCTACTTTTGGACCCGATCGAATAAAGGGGATGGATGCATCATGTATACGAAATGTGGAGGGAGATCCAAACCATCAAGCTCGGGCTTAATTAGCAACCTCTCGTCCCACTTGTATCATCCTGATATTTCCTTTTGGGCATCCTTAATCGGCTAATCCAACTCTCGTACTCAATTGCTACATCTTCTTGCAGTTCTATCATCAAAACCCTTAGAAAACCGCAACTATTAAGTTAGTATTAATATAAATATATTATTAATTAATTCTGTATTGTTCTTAAGATCAAGAATATGCTTCTAGATCGTGACGTCCGTCCGCCGGACAGTTCTTCATAGTTTGTTGTAATCGCCTATGCTAGCTCAAAGCGCTGTAAACTAAAACCCAGCTCAAGAACTCCGGATTAAAACAATGTTAATTCCGCTATAAATAGATTGCTATTACTACTCATTATTATTACCCACAACAACACTTGTATTTACATCCCTAATAACAACCGGAAACACGAGAAAATACTAAAGCCATGGAGTTCAAGGGACGCAGCTCAAACGCAAAAATAGTCACCATTAGTCTTGTTGCTGTTCTCATCTTCTCTTTGGTCCTCGTGACCAACTCAGGTAACTGCTATTCCTTCATCGTGAACTACATGATATATATATCAGCTGCGCCCGTGCGGGGATCTATAAGT